TTTTGTTCATCTTTGATTGTTCCTTCTCCATTTCTGTAACAGGTCGCAAGATTATATTGTGCGTTAAGGTGTCCTGACTCTGTTGTTTTCAAGTACCACTCGAATGCCTTTTGTTCATCTTTGATTGTTCCTTCTCCATTTTTGTAACAGGTCGCAAGATTATTTTGCGCATCAAGGTGCCCTGACTCTGCTGCTTTCGAATAATACTCGAATGCCTTTTTTTTATCCATTTTTATCCAATCCTCGTCATTATATAATTCTCCAATTAAATATGTCAATTTTTGATAATACTTCAAAGTTTGACTATAATCTTTTTCAGTACTCAAACCCAGATGATAAATAAAGTCCAGGATTTTTTCATATAAAAAATTATCTTGTAATTCTTGCGAGAATTTTATTTTTTCAACGAGTGGTTGAATATTTTTTGAGAAACTAGTGAAAAATTTTTCTAAATTAATTTGGTAATTTTTATTGAATTTAAAAATATCGTTAAGCATAATCAACAAATCATCCATTGTTGTTTAATTCACTTTGTTGCTAGTTCGGTTTTAACTGTGCTTTTTACCGTAATAAATAAAGATGATGTTAAATGACTTTCTACTTAGGATAAATTGCGGTTGTTTTCATTAATATTTAAATTTATATTTGTTGTTGGACGGCGTTAGAGCCCAATTCATTTGTAGCTTCGTCGGCGGCGATTTTCTGGAGTTTTTTGGCCTATCCTCGCTATCTTGGCCATTAATTGCAGTTGAGGAACCTCTTCGGATTCAATTGAATACTTTCCTCTTGCTTTTTTCTCTAAATTATTCTTAAAAAATTAACTTTCGTTTTATTTGAGCTTGAGGAATCAATACATGTATTGTTGACGGAACAGATTGATTGATAACTTAAAAGAGCTCTTTTTATCGTGATACATAATAGTGTACTTTTAACATCTAAATTTAGAATACGAAAATACATGTACAGTAACCATAGAAAGTATCGTTCGATGCAAAATTAAAAATAAAAACTTAGCTTATTTTTCAATATACACCAAATAAAAAATAAAATTTATTTAATATTTAATTGGCCTTCCAATACTGCATTAATTCTTCGTGGCATTGATGCAGTAACCCGTTCTAAAATGGCCACATCAAGTTTTTCCCACTCCATCTTCAGTGCAATCTTAAGTTCGTCCACAGTCGTCGGAAAGTTCTCATTTTTTTGAATATTGTCCTTTAACATCTTTCAAATGTTCTCTATTGGATGAATTCGCCGGCCAATTAATAATCACGATTTTATTTTCCCTTGATTTTTCCCGCAGTATGTATCGGCGCATTATCATATTGAAAGATTGCTTAACTTCCAGTTAATTCCCTAATTGCGTTCTGGAATGGAAGTAATTGAGTTTTTAAGATTTCGAAACAAGTATTTCAGTTATTTTTTCGCTATTTTTTTATATTCATCACAAAAAATTAATGGTCCTTCCGCGAAATATCCCCAAACCATTACAAATTTTCATCCACTTTTAAAGGTAGACGCCAAACAATTAATGTTAAACTTTTTCTCCAGGATGCCGCCAAACTCTTGGCTGCCGTGACTACTTTCCAATTTCTATACTGGTTTTATCAGAGAAAATTATTTTTGACCAGTCATAAGCTGATTTATTTTTATTTTCTTCACACTATTTAATATGAACATATGTATGTGTTTCCGAGATACAAGGTTTCTTTGCTGCGATATGTGAGTTAAGTCCGGAGTTGTGCAATACATTTGCAACGGTTGATAAACTACAAGTGAGGCCTAAACTGTTGACTATTTCGCGTAGTGATGCATGTCGTTTTCACTAGCTTCACGTATAAGTAAATCCTTTTCGTGATTGTTTAAGGCTGGTGATCTTCCTGAACGTGGTAAGTTTTTACTTTTCTGGTTCGTTTATATTTGTTTAGAAAGCGGCGTACCGTTGTAAGGTCGCGTCCGAGTATTTTTGCGATTTGAGCGGCATCTGTGGTGTCCATGTACGCCAAAATCTTCCCCTTTTCAATTTCGTTAAGCTGCGTATAGGAAAACACCATTTTTTTAACCTAACGAAATTATAGGGTTGACGAAGTGACAAAAGATAAATAAAGTGAGAAATGTATTTTTAAAAAATGGTTACACACGTAAATCGGGCGATACTTTCTATGGGAACTGTACATGAGCAACGCCAACATTAGTGGCGCAGGCGGGATATTGGCTGTTCTTTTCAATGACGAGAATGTCATAAGAATTTTTAGACAACCTTTAAAAGATCGTGAACAATGTTTTTTAATCTATATGTCATTATTCTTTTAATGAATTGATTCTTGAAAATTATATGACATATTGTTTAAAGTAACATTCTGAATTCATGGTTGAAAGTTTTGCTATGAAACTCCAGGAATTTGTGCAAGTCAGAAATCAAAAATAGTTGTCATCTCTTTGTTTAAACGAAGTTATTTGAACTTGAATTTTGTGAAAAATTTCTTGAACGAGGATCATTCAAATGTCTACTTCAAAGAACATTAATTTATTAATTCTTTTAGATAATGATCATTTGACGAATTTATGCTACACTCGAAAGTTGTTTATCATTCATTCGTCTCTTCATATAAAGTAAATGAGGCAAGATTGGCGGATGTATCGTACCCTATGGAGAATTTGATATCAAAAAAAGATAAGCTTGCACAATCGATCTTCAGGTGCATGCAAAAAGGTCAAAAGACTTGATAAGACAGTCGCTTAGATGCGATGTGACGTAAAATGCTGTGAATGCAAAATGAAAGACAATCAGATTTTCACTCACAAATTCAATGTTATTGTAATCCCTCCCTTTATATCAAGAAAAATCAGATGAAAGACAGTTAGAAAGATGCTTTCCCTGGAGACACCATCACTTTCGTCAACATCTATGGCTAAAGAATTGAAAATTCGAGTTATTACAATAGGCTTATAGGTCTAAACTTTGCAAATGTGGGAATAATGTACAAATGCCATAATTATAGGAATGTAATAAAATGATGTACGAGAAATATTTCTCCGGGTTTTGCTTGATAGAGAACCTAGGTTCGCTTCCGAGAATCATGCAGGAAATACAATCCAACCGGATTTATAATATATCTGCTATTTCTAGTGTATTGTGTCTTTCTGATACTCTATTATAAGTTTCTTTTTCATTACCCATCTATCATAATTCCCTATTGACGTATTGATTAAAATTTTGTATATATATTCCCTCACCTTTTTGTGACGCTCATGACACGACTTATCATTTTCCTCCTTTGTAAATGAAAAAGTTGCAAATTAATTTAAATCTATATAAAGCAATCTGAAAGCAAAAATCACATTGGTTCTTATAGAATGTTCTGGTTTTTCAGTTTCTTCTTTGAGCTGAGCATTTCCAATCGAAGAAGAATTTTTTGACTCGAATCTAAAAGGGTTAGCAGTTCTTCGAAATTTGATAATATCACCCGGCTATAATACATTTTGGCTTAAATGACCACAAGTGGGATGTTAACCGTTTTAAGAAGTTCGGTTTGGGTTTCAAACTACCATTTTATAAATACTAACTAGATTAAACGAGGTTTTTATGATTTATTCAAACTGTTTATCAGAACCGGTTTGGAAATCAGTTAAAAACTCAGTTGATAACCCGTTTATACTAAATGAATAGTGAAAATATTGTTTGATGATTAAGTGCAGCAAAAACATGAGTTTTCGTTGTATTAATTATAAAACTTCAATATTCATGCTGCAAGATTCATATATCATGACTTTAGGCACCAAACAGTTATAATCTTGTGATAACCATCCAAATCTACAAATATCTGCAGGTTTAGTGGGATTCCAATTAGCATCTCCACACTAATATAAGGAAATGCTTCGTAAATTTCTTGATTAGATTTTACCCATTAGGTTTGAATTTCTTCGTTAGTTGGTCTCTTTTTAAAATCCTTTGGCTTCTCGCGAGCAGAAATGCTGTAATTGAGCCTGTAAACTCAAAATCAACAATTTGAGCTTTATCATACAATAATAATATATTTCACAAGATGATTCAGCTGCGTGAATGCTGTTACGGATATCCTAAATTAATGTTTTAATTTTTTTCTCAGCCATTTTCTCGTAACTGTAATTATACCGATACAGGATACAGTATTGATTTGCAAAGTTCTCCATCTTCTGCTAAGTCATTACTACGTATCGGTGTTGAGCAACTTTGCTTTCAACTTGGAACATATTCATTTAGAAACTCCTTGTTTAGAATCTGCACAACCAATAGGAGTGGGGCAAAATTTTAAAACAAATCCGGCACAAGAAATCAAGAAAGAAAAAACAAAAAAATACGGAAAACAGATATCCAATCTAGCTTGAAGCACTTTCAAAAAATGTTGAGAAGGCAAGTTTACATATAATCCTTTACCCGCACTCAAACCCTAACCTTTATACTTGACACTTAATATTAAATTAATCGAATATTTCAATGGTCCTGGATTATCATCACGTGACATTAACGTTTTTACACAACTTCGCGTTCCCAATTGTTAAATGTTTTATAACGAGGCGAGAGATATTAAATTATTATCGTTAACGTGTTTTGATTCAAAAAAATGCGCCAAATTTACAGTATTCAACAATAACTGGCGTCGTAAGATTTCTTTCATTTTCTTTCACTCTCTGAGCTCGAACAATTCATAGAATATATTTTTTGGAACTTTACCTTTTTGAGAGGTAAAGGATTTTTACTGTAATTGAAAAATCTAAACGCAGTGAGCGAGAAAATCAGCACATCATACATGTGTACAAAATATTGGCATTCAAATTAGCATTGGATGTTGGATTGTTGATTAATTCGCACAAAATTAATGTTAACGTTAATGAATGAATGGTAAAATGGTATTTCCATTGTTAAACAATTAGCAAGATAAACTCGTAAGATAAAAATGTTATTGATGAAAAATAATATTGACTGAATAAAATGTATCATACAAGTAATAAAAACTAATTTAATCATGCGATATTTTTGTCTTCTTTCGTGCTTTGAATTGAGTCTCTTCGTAAAATAACGGGCCTTTTCGCCGTTTTCCGAGTTGCACCGTTTCGATAGAAGACGGTGTAACTCGGAAACGAAATAAACTACCCAACGGGAAAGTTCGCGGCCTAGTGCCAAAAGGAGCTATTTTTGGAGGGATTAGACCGCCGGACGCGAATAAGTCACCGGAGATTGTGTTTTGGGGTAGAATATTGCCGAATAAATTACCAATTGCAAAGTTTAGTGCCATCGCGTAATTAGGATTCATAGGAAGACTCCCGAGCACGAAATTGTGATTGAAAAGGTCACGGGAAGTCGTATTTTGTGTTGCAAATACATTGTCAGACGCAAAGTTTTGCGTCGTCGTCGCGTGATTCAGATTCATAGAAATTGTATTTGTTGAAGTTGATGGTGAAGTAGCCACAGTTCCTCTAGTAGTAAGTTCATCATTGTCAGACTGTTCGTCCGAGGTAGAATTCGTTGTATAACAACCAGATCCTTTATGTTTTTGTGTTGTTCTATACAACTTTCTGGGTACTGGTTCGTCCTCGTCGGAAGAACAACAGGTTGGTTTTATTTCTCTAAAGGCATTTTTAAAATTCGATGATATCTGAGCAGATCGTGTAATTATTGATGGAATGATTTCGTCATTTTTAACCAAAGATCCGCATATGCGAATCATGGATTTTTTGCTTTCTTGAACCATGGTTTTTCTAGCAGTTCTCATCGAAGTGATGGTTTTGTCGTTTGCTTTGTCTCTCGTCGCCTTAGTTGATCCATCGTTAAATTCAGCCATGTCATTTTTCCCCAGACTATTCCCCACCACTGGCGAGTTTTTAAAAATACCATTTGCACTGTGACCAATATTTTTTCTTCCCGGATCAATCACATCATCAACATAAAATTGCTTACTACTTTCAGCACAATCTAGTTTATCAAGTTGTCCAATTGGCCACTGCTTATGAATCGAATTAGGTTCAGGCATCTGTGGGTCTACTGAATCCGTGGGTGATGGCAAAAATGAGACCCATGCTTTCCCAGATGTAACCATTACATCTGGAGGTATGACCGAGTTTTGTGGTGATTGAGTAGGTATAGTTTTTGTTTTGTATACATCGTGAACAGTTAATGGAAGCGGCTCTGATGTTTCTTCCGAGGGAAACCGAGTGGTTAAAATACAGGATTTCAAGCACGGTTTCTTTTTTGCTTGTGTCATCTTTTCCTTGGATTTTTCCATGTTAAATTTTGCAGAATGCGTAAAATAACGTTCAACATTTTCTAATTGATTCTGTTGATGTTGCGTTTCGTTATTAATAATGATATCGTTATTGTTATTGGAAGGTATGCTACCCGTCTTAATGGTTCCTGAAGTTGTTTCTAATGCTTTCCCAAGCACATTATAATTACTCCCTCCAGCATTAATCACCGATCCCGACATTCCAAATGCCAATCGATAACTTTCACCCGCGTTATGCACATCGAGATTGTTGGATGCTGATGAATTCATGCCGTTGTAATTGTTACTTGCTAGGTTTCGAAACTATAAATATTAATAATTATTGGTTCGCTATCGGAACAAGTGATATTTAATTCAATTGCACTCTTCATGTACTTGAAGGTTTAAAGTTGTGGGTAATATATTTTTTGAAAAAAAATAGCGTTTAACCATTGTCGTTATGTATTCCCTTCTCATGAGTGAAAAGAATACGCAGATCTGTGAAATTTTCACATCACGAACTATTTATAGGATAGAATGAAAGCTTATTGGAAAAGTCAAAAAAGAAACAATTGAGCAATCGACCATTTTTGAAGACTCGCTTTTTTCACATTCAAATTCACATTAGCATCTACAATGGAAGATGATTGGTAACGATAATGATTTCGTGTGAATCTGGCACTTTAATCGTTGCCAAACATACTTCCTCTTCAATTTCACTTCTCAAACGTTTCTTTCTTGTCGCGATAATGCGAATTGTTATCTTTGTTAGCATTCTTATCGATTATTTTTATCTCGACCAGGACGACGAAGATGTTGAAGATGCCGAGGAACACGATCATGAAGATTGAATAACTCAAAAGAACAAAATAATTTTAAAATCACCTTACGCGTTATAAACAATTATTTCTCGCATGGAACTGCGTAGATATATAGAAAATACTTTTGATCTTGACTCCGCTATAGTCCGCATTAGATGGATCTTCTATTTTCGTTCCTGTAATCTCCATACATCATCACTACACTGCCGACTGTATCTTTTTACCGCAAAATTATTATTGTCCACCAAAAAAGTTAATTTTTGTTGTTTCTTTAATCTTCCTGAATTTGATGTTTTAATCCTGGTCTAACATAATCATATCGATATAATTCAATATTTGCTTTGATCCTCTCCGCCCAAGAAAAACTTGTACACTACGCACCATATAATCGATTTTGTTTATTTTGTTTTGTGCCACAAGATAATTCTTGTTAATTTTCATTAAAAAGACCCCCCCCCCCCCCCCCCCACCGTATAACATACCAACCCCAAATACTAAATTTAGTATGATCTTGAACTTATCCTTTCATTATAACATCAAAAAAAATCTGAATACACAGTTGATTTAGTTTTTAGTATTCTATTATCTTGCGGAAATAGATAATCGTTTAACGCTAAAACCGATCTAATCTCTTAATAATAAGTAACGATAACGATAAAAATGAGATTGCAGATTGAATAAAGATATCGATATCATTACATACATGTATATACATGTGATGCGTTCGTTATTCAAGCAAAATTCAAATATCCGCGATGTTCGCTTTTATGTACATGTATTACCGTTACACTAAGCTGAATTCGTAATTGAATAGAGAACACGTTTTTGACAAGTTCAATGAGAAGACCTGCTGGACTGCACATATAGCGATAGATGTACTCCACTCCATTTACATTTTTTGTGCGCGTCATCCGTGCATAACAAAACCCGATTGTTCACGTGTAGAAAAATATTCAGGTTGTATACATTTTATTCTAATTATAATGCATTTTTACAATTAAGTCTTTTAATATAGCGTCTATTGTAATAATCTAAAGATAAAAATTAAAATAGGTGCTACATTACATAAAAACGGCTAGTTTTTGGTTGTTCTGATTCTTGTTTTGATTGTCTTTTAACATCCGGTTCTCGAATTTTCTTAATATTAATTTCGATGCTATTATTGGATACTTATCATTAAGTAAGAATGTTGATAATGTTGGTGACTCCGTAACCATACATATATATATGTGTGTGAAATACCGCAATCATAAGTCCCAAAATAAAGTCCATCTTAATTCCTTGTATGTATCCTTTCCGCGATCCCATCAATCACCATTATCTTATCCTGATTACATCAACTATCCAATCAGTATTCATGATCACTACAACTAACCAGCCAGTGCTCGATTTCCCACCGAGGATCTACCATTTAACGCAGTCGATAACGCCGCGGTGGTAAGCATAGTCGTCGTGCTAGCATGCCACCCAAGTTGCATTATCGTCTGCTGTGTAATCAATTTCAAAACCTCATTAATTAAACCCCCGCGTAACACCACCATTATCACCAGCCAGTATACGGCTTTAGATGCTCGTCGTTTAAGAAACTTTCGTAACATTTTGGCGAAATAGTGTTTGAATGTTTGTCTTAGTCGTAATAAATTGTGATATGGTGAGGATGAGGACCATGGAACGATTTTTCGGTCATCTTTGATGTTACCATTGTTGTCAATTTCTTTATTGTTGATGTTTTCGTGTCCCGTAACTTGAAGGTGATCTTGTATTAAATTGTCAATATCTTGGTCATCGATATCATTTGGAGAGGAGTCCTGAGAGGATTGATCATCTGATGTGGAATAGGAGGAAGATGAGGTGTTGTCCTCGATTATTGAAGTGAATTTTAATGCTGATAGAATAGGAGATGTAGGATGTATGTGTGAAGCTGATAGTGGCTTTATTGGTTGTGGAGAGAGAATTGTCGGAGTTGTTGTTGATTTGTTCATATTATTATTATTATTATTATTATTCTCATCATCATTATTATTAGTAATGGTTGCAGAAGCTGAAGTCGGTGACATGTGAAGGAAAAAAGGTCTTCCAGTATTAGCAGTCGATGACGGTGTCATCTTTAACCATGATGGTATATTAAGATCCAAAACCGGTGAAGCTGATCGACTAACGAACGATGCTGTTCGACTATTGAATCGTGGTGTGCCAGGTCTACTTTGATATGGCGTCGAAGGTGCCGAATAAAACATCTCATGTAACGATTCGACTGAAGGTGCTCGACTGAATGGTGCAGGCATTTTCAATATTGGTTGTGGTCGTGCGTATTTCTGAAATGTGTGGCATGTGTCAAGGTCGTACTCGAATTCGTCGTCTCCACCATGTTCTTTTGTTATTAACAATATTATTAACAAATAAGAAAATGAAAGTTCCATCAATCCATAGTACCAAATACCTACCCATTAGCACGTTCTCTCTATCAATATATTGAAATATTTCCTGTTGTTTGCTCAAGAAAATGATACGACCTAACGATTCTTCAGGTAGTATACGTTTGACGATTTGCCACACGCCCGAGTACATCCATCCGTAATTCAGAACGTATGCTGATATTACGTTAGAGATCAATCAATTATTATTGTTATGATGATAATTGTTTTAACTGTAGACGTTGATTATTATGGGTACTTACTGACAGCAATGGAGCTAGGATAGTGATATCGTGCAAGATCCATCATGAAATGACCTAATTCAATGTCCTATAAAAGAAGGTTCAAGTTTAAATATTCGTCCAAGTTAAGATCGACACGGAAGGACGATCACATAAACAAAACCCCTTCCCGAAAAAAAAATTCAATTTACCAAACTGCTAACACCAGCTCCCTTCAAATCCAACAACACAGAATACTGCAGCACGGGAAACTCTTTTGCTTGTTTCGTCATATCCCACATCAGCTTCCTCGCGACCTCTGCGCAAAACATAATGTAACGTTTCGACTCTTCAACTGTCGGTGGAAAGGATGAGTCATATTCTTCCTCGTCGGTATTTTGTGCAGATTGTGATGGTTTTGTGAATTCTCGCAAGTTCACCACAGCGTACGGTCGCCCAAATCTATCCGTTTTGTCGTGCAAAAAAAAGAGCCCATTCCGCAGGTAGTATGGGTGAACATCGGTAAGCATGAAACTATCGATATTGTTTTCAATGCGCCAGCGAATGTTGGCAACTAATGAGGTTAAGGCAGAGTCGAAATCGAAGGATGATCTTCGGAGGAAGCGAAAGAGTGTTGCTGTGGTTTTTTTGTTTGGTTTTTATCATTAATTTGAATTTTCTAAAAATGATTAACTCAAACTTTACTTATTTTTAACCCATAACCATGGAAAAAAATAAAATACCTTTATCCTCGCAGTACTGCCTAACCCGCTCAACCTGTATAAAGTCCAAATCAAATTCTTTTTGAAAGTCCATAACATGTTCCGTTACCAGAGCACGGTGCAAATCTTCAACCGTGGACTCGTGTTGTTTGTAGAGTGCGCACATCTTCTTGAAATTTGCTTCGAGTAAATGCGTCATGATGATAATTTTATTTATATATATATATATTATAGTGTGAAAGTTGCTTTACGAGAAAATATTATGTTTTTCGAAAAAATAATACAAGCGGGTATGTATGGAAGAAAGAAAAAAAAAGAATGATTGATTTGATTGAGACTTAATTATTATTTGTTTGAGAAACAAAAATAATAATGACCGTAATAATTTTAAAAAAAAATCCAAAGTAACTTTTTTGAGAAATAAAAACGATGATGGTGAATAATGATGGGCTTTTCCTCGAATATTGGGAAAGGGAAAGAGCTGGAATAACAATAACCAAAACCAACAACTATTTATGTGTGTAATATGTGAATTATATCAGTGTGCATTTATATTTGTTATTTACTAAATAGTATAATATATTACGATATAATATATTATAATGACCACATAAAAGGTGGCAAAGTAACACAAATTTTCTTTTATTCCTTTTTATTCCTGTTTCTGATGATTAATTTAGTAGGAAACCGTTTCCACATGACACGTACACGCCTCGTTTGCTCAAAAACTTTTAAATGGTGAAAATTTCCTTTGACATCACCACTTATTAATCTCTACGCAGAGAAATCCCTTTAATTATTTTAAAAAATAATAATGTCGATTCTTTCAACTTTTTACCATTATTATTTTTATGTACTATTTTATAGTGGCAGATAATGCACAAATTATCTATTATCCCTTGTGCGCCTGTACTATGATGTTATTAATTATTGCATAATTTTTCGCTCACTTTCAGATGTTATTTATTGTTTCTTTCAGTCAGCCGACCTTTCATTTATTTTTTAGACTTTTTTTTCTGATTTGTAATACATATCACAAGTCAAGAACAGGTTTTAAAAAAAAACATATTAGGAACTTTTCTTTTTAGGGAAACTAACCACTTGCATGTATGACAAGATATAAAATATATATCATATCATCATCTAAAATCTTATCAGTAGTGGGGTATATGCCAGACAAAAAAGTGATGCAGGGTTTTAAAATTCCGGTCGAACTTACCTATTGTCCGAATAACGTGATCATTGACGTTGATCACCGCGTGACTTGCCCTGCCGCATTCTCCAACTTCCAATATGGTCTCACCATGGCGAAGGCCTCAAACGTTTCATCTTGGACGATGTGTCAAATAGGCGTTTTTTGATACCACAATTTTAGTCACTCTGGGAAGTTATCACGGAGCATCTATATTGATGTAATGTTTATTTATTTATTATATTAATTGCGACATTGGCTAGTGACTTTTTACTTGCCTAATCCGTATATGGACTACTTTTGCTCTTGTTACCCTTATTACGAGCTGCCTTTGATTTTTTCTCTTTGAGTTTGAACAAACTAAACTACTTAAGTAGCGTTTAAACAAAATAAGAACTCATTTATTGGACTTTTTTAATCAAGTAATATCACATGTTCTACCTGTTATTGTCATTTGCAAGGATTTAGAGCTGGCGGAAGTGAGTCATGTCGTTCAGAAAAATATTAAACCACATTTTTTAATGATGATAACATAAATTTCAGAAGATTTTATTTCGATAAACCGATAATTTTTACTAATTTCCCCAAGTTTTGATTAGGCAATGGAAAATCAATCACTGATTGGATATCCAATAAAAATATATTACCTATGCTTTGGTGTATTAATAATGTGCGAAAGAAAATATTTACATAATATTAATGATATTTTTCCGGGATATTAATATTTACGTGATTGTCCAATCAGAACTTAAGCGGGTGGTTGATTTCAAGACGATCCTGAACATTATACAAAAATAAAGGTTCTATCGTTCGAATTTTTACTCTTTGTTGCAACATATGATTTTGATTAAAATGGAATTTTGGGATATTGATATGTCGTGAGACAACACGTTGGATTTCTATTCTGTCACATTTGACATTGACAGGTGATGTGAAAAAATTCTATTTGGAATATACAATTTTGTACTACTAAAACTGGATATGACATGCTCGCATGATTATTTGTATTAATTTTTAATAATGGAGAAAAAATCTCTCCGGTTCATGTGATTTTTTAAAGATATAAAATATTAATAACATTTTTATTAAGGTTGGGTTAGGGTCAGAGTTAAAAAAATTTCGCAAGGAACATTTTTTGTTAGAGCACAGAAAGTGGTTTCATAGAGTTACAAGAAAAATTAACATTTGTTTTTGAATTTGGTTTACCCTACAACTCCGTACTTTGAACTTTTTTAATTTAAAACTAAAAGAATCAAATGAAAAAAATAACTAAAAAAGAAGCAATTATTTGTCAAGCTTGTGATATAATTAATTATTTGAAGTCAAAAGAGAACAAACATAAAAAAAACCAAAAAAGAAAAGTATGATTAAGATAAGTTATATCATAATAAATTCGAGAAAAATGAAAAGATTCTTACTATATTTATTATATTCTTGATAAAAAACCTTATAAATAAATTAAGAATAATAAATAAAAAGTTATTAAAGAATTCATATATTAAAAATCATCTCAAGATGTATTATAAACAAAATTTTCTTTTACTTAATTAATTATTTGAGTTTTACCAAACAAAATTCTTAGTTAAAAAGTACTATTATTATTTTAACTTTTTGTATTATATAAATAATTAAATATGTAATATTAGTATTAACTTTAATAATAATTATTATAAGCAATTTATATTACTTATTTTTAATTTTGTATAATTTTGCAACAAGTTATATATTATTAATTTTTTAATTTTATTGACCAGAAATCTTTTATCATATATTAAATTCTTGTTATTCTTAATTTTATCAATTAATAATTAATATACTATATATTAATAGCTTATAATAATTGAATCTCTATATATGTTGCAAAGTATTTATATCTATCTTTGATATTTTTATTAGTTAATAAATTATAAAAGATCAAGAATAAATTTAATTATACTTTAAATAATTTAATAAAATAATTTTTAAAAATCAAGATTATATAATAAATTTTGCAAATTTATTATTATTTAAAGTTTATTAATTAATTAAGAATAATTTGATGAAATATTATTATTAAGATTTATAATCAATTAATATATAAATTAAATATTCTTGTAAGAGTTTAATTATTTCTAAAATATACAAAAAATATATAATTATTACTTTTTTATTTATATAATATTATAATAAAAAATTATATATATATTATAAATTATTTTAAACTTTATTTATATAATTATTTGTAAAGTTTATATATTATATTTATTATTATAAATTATTATATATTATTTATATTTATTATATTAAATAGCAAAAAAATTCAATTATATTTATAAAATAATAAAATAATAATTCTTAATTTTTTTATGAATTTATAAAAATATACTAAATATATTTATTTATTATATTTTTTATTTCTTAAAATAGTTAAAATCAAATTATAAATTAACTTTTTTAATATTAATTAAATATAAAAATTAGTTATATAATATTAAATTATTAATAAAATATATAAATTTTAATTAATTTATAAACAAAAAAGTAAAGTATATAAAATATATAATAAAAAATTTATATATAAATATATAAAATATATAAAAAAATTTCTAATCTTTATTAAACTTAAAAAGTTTTTTAAAATCTTTTTAATAAATTAATAAATTATATAAAAATTTTTAAAAAGCTTAAACTAATAATTATATAATTAAAATTATAAGTATTTTAATATTTAAAAATTTAAAAAATTATAAGTATTTTAAACTAGTTAATAATATAAATATTAGTTCTTATTTATTATTATATATTATATACTTAATATATTATATAGATAAAAAATAATATTATTATTTATTAAATATAATCTAATAAATATAATAAAAATATTTATATAATTTAATTAAGTAAAATAAATATAATATAAGATATTTTAACTTATTAATAAATTTGAATAATTTTAAAATTTATTAGTATTTTATAAAAAAAAATTTAAAAAAACTAAATCTATAATATTATTTATTAAAATATAAGAAGTAAAAATAATATAATTATATTATTTTTACTAAATTTAAATTATAATTACTTAAATATGATATATAAATTATAAAATACAAGTTATTCAATTAATTAATAGATTTTAAAATTCAATTATTTAAGTAATAGAATAATTATAAAATTCAAGTTAATTAAATAATAGATTAATTATAAAATTTAAGTTATTTAAGATAATTTATATATTATAAGATTATTTTATTAATATTTATAAATAAGATAAAATATAATATGAATAATTTTAATTTATAAACTTATAATTTTATTGTTTGAAATATATTCAGA